AACAAAATGTGTTAAGGAGTGATTGAGACCTATTTAAATATAATATTTAATTAATATTTTATAAATAAAAATTTTCAAAATCGAATAATAAAAAAAGTGAGATGAATATAATTTGTTTGTTTTTCATAATAAAATGAATGATTTAATCAAGGTTTTTAAAAATTTCAATCAATTTGATCGATGTTATTAACATAAATAATAAATTATATTTATTTTATTCTATTTCTTAAAATAATGTAAGAAACAAACAAATATGATTAAGTCTAATTTAAAAAAGAAAATGATTGAAAGAATTTAAAATATAATTCTATAAAATGAATTTATTTTGTTAAATTTTCATTAATTTAATATTTTATAAATTTATTGAAAATAATTAAAATGATAATTTAAAGTTAAAATGTATTATAAAAATATATATTTATTTAATGTTTGACATGTTTCAATATAAATATGAATAAATTATATTTGCTAACATAATCGATATTCAACTTTGTTTATTCGATTGTTAATCAAATTTTATTTTATTTAACAAACAAACACACAAACACACACAAAAAAAGAATCAAGGCCATTAGAAAACTATCAATGTCAAATTTGGACATTTTTCTCATTAAAAGATAAATGTTATTTCGAATTCTAAACCTTATTATAATTCTAGTTAATTCATCAACAGAAAAAAATTTATTAATTATTAAATAAAATTAATTTGAATTATTCTTAATAGAATATTTTATAGAATAAACAATATCAAGAATATAATCTTGAAAATTATTTTTATTTTAAAAGTTCAATCACAGTTTAATCAACAGTTATTTTTTTTAAATAAATAAATAAATATCGATTATTAATATATATATATATAACTAATATAGTCAGTTAAAAATAAAATTATTTATTTTAATATATTTATCAAGAATTCTTTTAATTGAATTAAACTATTTTCAATTGAAAATAATAGTTTAAATTATTTTAACTTTATTTTTAATCTATTCAAAAAAACAAAACAAAAAATCTTCTTTAATCGAAACATATTCATATTCAAGAATAATATCTTCTTCGAACTTTTACAATCATTGTTTTGTTTCATTTAACTTCAATTCTCTACAAATTATTTTCTTTTTCTAATCGGGTAGTTTTTATGAAAGAAAAATAAAAATAAAAATAAATGATCGATTATTATTCGTTGAATAGCTGATATAACAATATTTGTTAAAAAAAGAAATAAGAAAAAAGAAAAAAGAAATAAGAATGAAATCATCGTTGTTAAAACAAATTTAACTTGTATATATGTATATCACTTCAACTTGATTTGCTTTTCTTTCTAATAGTATTCTCCTCTTCATTTCTTTCTGTTTCTTTTTTCGGCTTCTCAAAAATGTTTTTTTTTTATAGAATGTAATCATTAGTTAAACGAACACTGAACGAATAAGAATATATATGTTTAAGTGAAAAGAAGAAAAAGTAAAAGAAAAAAAGAAAAAAAAAGAAAAAAAAGAAAAAGAGAAAAAGAAATATGATCGTTTAGTTTTGCAAAGAAATAATTGTAAAAAGAAGTAAAAGTGATGGTACAATCTGATGTTCCACGAGGTAGAACAAAATCAGGTAAAATAAATGCTCGATGGTATTTACAAAAATTACGAGCATCGGCTGCTAATCGTAATAATTATATTAATAATTATATTGATTATGATAATTATACTAATAAAACAAATAAAAATGATACAATAAGAGTTGTACGTGGAAGTACAGCAACACAAGGTCAACATATTCCAAGAATTTTTCTTAAATCACCAACGAAATCATTTGAAGATGAATCAATTAAACAGGTTTTTATTTTTATTTTTGTTGTTTTTCTATTTAAATAAATAATATTTAAAATAATCAATATAGAAATTGTCAAATAATCGTCGTTCAAGTTCAAATAAAATAGCTTCAGCTACATCTGTTAAATCTACATCAACAATAAATAAAATATCTTCTTCATTAAATGAATTTAATTCAAATAGTTATCAATCAGTAACAACAACTATTCAAAAAGATGATAAAGATTATTTATCTGAACGTCGAACATCATCAGGTACACTTTTATCTTTAAAAGCTGATTTAATAGTTCGTCCACCAAGTACACCTGTTGATCAAAGATGTCATAGAGCTTATTCATCAACAACAAATCCTATTGATCGTGAAACATGTGCACTACTTGGACCACAATTATGTTCAGATTGTATTGAAATTAAAACACGAGCAAATTTATCACCAGAACGTTTACCAGCTAATTTAATGCAACAACGTTTATCAGCATTAGCTTTAAGACGTTTTATTAAAAATGAAGAAAATGTAAGTGATGATGATTTATTAAAAATGGTTAATAATCAACAAATTCAAATAACAAATAAAAATTCAAATTCAAATTCAAATGAATTTAATTCATCAATTATATCTGATGATGAATATTTTGATCGTTTATCATCATCACTTAGTCAAAATGCTGGTGAAAGACCATTTTATTTTAAAAATTTAAAAGATTTTTCTCAAAAATATCAATCAAATAAATATAAACGTTTATTATTAAGTGAAACTCCTGCTCCTCAATCATCTAATCCTGTATTTAAACAAAGTTCATTTGAAAAATTTGATACATCATCAAAATATTCATATATGAAAAAAGGTTCAACTATAAAACCAAATTTAAAATCAAATGCATTTAATTTTTTATCAACAAGAAAAAATGAACAATTTTATAATCAATATAGATATTTAACTAATTATTCTCCACCATTACTTATACAAACATTACAAGAAACTGTTAGAAACAATTCTAATAGACATTTATTATCATCGAATCAAAATCAATTTGAAAAAAAATCATTTATTACATAAATTTATTCTCATCAACTAAATATTGATCTTTAAACAATATTTTTTTCTTTTTACAATATATTTATTTATTTATCATTTAAATCTTTTCTTTTTTTTTTGATATTAACAAATCTCTGTCAAATCTAATTGAACTGATTATCAAAACTTTTTTTTCACGATCAATTTTCTTTTTTTTTTTTTGTTTTTTTTTATATTGACAAATTTATTTGATCAACTGAAGAACTTAAAGAAAGATTCTTTTATGACTAAACACGCAATAAATAAAATCTACACAATAATAAAACTAACATTAAAGCCATAGAAAAATAGGATTAATTATCTCTGTTTCTCTTTAACTATTGGCTGAATCCGTGGGATTTCTACCACTTTTGCGGAAAAATATTTTATTTTTCATTTTTAATAGACTAGTTAAATGTATCATAGGAGGAAACGATCTGAGACAACAATTAAAAACTTTTTGGACATATTAAGTGTGGAGAATCAAATCATTTTTTAGGAGGACATCACACAGATAAAGAGTGTCCTATAATTAATTCTTAATCATATTTTTCATAGTTTTTCAACTCTCTAGATAAAGCTAATAGTAAAATACATCGACAAGACTGAAATACATGAAGTTTTGCACTTAAATTATTGAAAAACTCGAGTGCAAACTTGATGTATTTCACCATTAGTTTAATCTATAGAGTTGAAAATTTCAGAAATAAAAGATCTTGATTAGATATATATATGTGATAAAAATTTAACCTCTCTATGTCAACAGAAACTATGAAATATATGATTAACAATTTATCATCAGTTATTATGGATTGCTCTTTATCGGTGTCGACTGTTCCTAAAAAATAATCGGGTTATCGACATTTAATATGTCCAAAAATGTTTTAATGATTGCTTGAAACCGTTTTCGACTATAATACGTCTAATTAGACTATTAAAAGCAAAAAAGAAACCTTTGTTTCAGAACATTGCCACATAATATCCTTCTTCTACAAAGTGGTAGAAACCTCACACGGATTGACCCTGTTCTCAATCATCATAATCGATCAAATATATTCAGTTTTTCTTTTTCTTTTTTACATTAACAAGACAGAATTCCAGACAATCATTATACAAACAATATCGCATAAAATCAATAAATTTTCTTTTATCCGATAAATAAAATCGAATAATACTTTTCTCTATGTTTTCTTCTTGTTCAAAAAGATATATTTATGTAAAAAATATGTCTGATGGAAAATATTCATGTCATTAAAAAAAAACCCGAAAATGTTCATTTGAAAATAATCTATTATAGTTCATATATAGAATATTGAATATAAATAAATTTATTTTAATTCATCTTTATATTCTATTAACTTTTATTTTGATATTTAATCAAGAATATATTTTTAAAATTGAATTTAACTTTTTAATAATTATAATTGTACCTGAATAGCTATTTATCGATAAATAATTATATTAATATTATTTTATTCAAAATTTTCTACGAATACGATTGTCGAAATAGAAACATTGAGCAAAATGATTTTTATTATTAAAAAAACAATATATCGATTTGAAATCGAGAAAAATAATATTAGATCGATCATCGATTCACATACGATTATTTATCTAAATTCTATTTTCATACTATTCGTTTTTGTTTCTTTTAATTAAATTCAATTGAAAAAAAAACAATAAAAGAAAAAAAAGCAAAAGATTACTTTTGATTGAATTAATTATTAATAAAAATGTTTAAACTATAATAAATGAAATTTATTTTATCATATTAAACGGTTAAATACTTATTTGTTTCAGTCGTTTATTTATTTTCTTTATTTCCTTGCAAAATGATTTTTTTAATTTATTTTTACGAAAAAAAAAAAACATTCGATTTAATGCATGATTTATATTTATCGATTATATCAGGTTATATTCATCATAATTCAAGCGTTATCAAGTATTTATGTATTTTCATTTCATTTCATTCATATCTATAATCAATTATAGAAAAACTAACTAGTTTATTCATCGAATAGAATTTATTGTTGTTATAATTGTCAATTTAATCAAGATTTTACACGTATATATTTATATTGAATATAATATATATTATTTTTGATTAAACAAATATTAATTTAATGTCAGTAATAATCAATAATAAATTATATTTATTTATTAGTTGTTTAACTTATATATCAATATTATATGTAAATGCTCATCCAATTCGATTTGACAATTCTAAAACAAAACAAAAATCATTTTATTTTGATTCAAATCAAAAATTAAATAATCAGATTTATATTCAAGAATATTTTCAAATAAAATCTTCAACAACAAATCATCCTTTTATTCAAACAACAACAATAAAACCATTTACTATTAATCATTCAACAAGAAATTATCATAGAACAACAAAAACAACTACAGAATATAATCATGCTTCTTCTTCTTCTTCTTCTTCTTCTTCTTCTTCTTCAAGTTCAACTATAAATCCATATGATTATGATCAATATGATCAAGATATTGAAAATAATGAAAATGACGATTCAAACGAAAAATTTCAATTAACTCATTTAAATTCTATTAAACAAGATGAAAGAAAAACTGAATCTATTATTATTAACAATTCGTCTCAAATAGATAAAATAAATAAAGATAAACAATTAAATACATTAAATTATAATCCGAACTGGGAAAAAACAATAATTAAACAAGTTCTTATACTTGATGTTTAACGTTTTTTTATTTTATTTTATTTTGTTTTTTTTTTTAATTCATTCTATTTAATAAATACTCGAAAATTTTGTTTTTGTTTTATATTTCGATTAAATTAAATTAATTATTTTAACATAATAAAAAATAATTGTTAAAATCAATCTTATATTTAAGTATAAGACTATTTTTATGAGAAATCATTCGGAAGTAGGAATATTGAATATTCTCGATTGTTGATAAATATCCATTGAATATAATCAACAAATTTTATTTCAAGATTATAACTACTTAACAATAATTCAATATATATTCATATCAATATATTAATTTAAGAAAATAAATTTACTTATATTTATAATTAAAATAAACATAAATTAAATTAAATAGTTAGAAATAATATACATATATATATATATACGAAATATTAACTAAAATAATTCTTTCAGTTAGCTTTTCATATTATTTATTCTTAATGATGAATTGAATAATTGTTCAAAAACTAATGTAAAATTCATCATAGAATAAATTTGAAAGAAAAAAAAAAATGTTTCCCTTACATAATTCATCTATGATAATTATTTTATGTTCATTTAATTGTCTCGTTTGAATTATTAAAAAATCAAAATTTATTAAAATTCCTAAATGTTAATTAACAATCAATAAACATATTAAAAAAAACAGCGATAGAAGTTTCAAGAAATTTGTTGATTATAAATATATTAAATATCATTTTTTAAAAAAAGTCTAATGAAAATGAAGGTGGAATATTTTTGTATATAAAATATGTTTTAGACTAAATCAATAATTAGTAAAATAATTATTTCGATTTATTTTCCACCAATAAATATCTATATTAAATAATATTTATTAATTTGATAATAAATTAAATACTCATCATTTATATTTAATATATTAAATTGTTTTATTTATATTTAATCAGATATTTTTATTAATAATTTAATTAAATTTATTTTCATATTAATATTATTGATATTGTTATTAAAATAATAAAAGAAAAATGTCAAAATAATAAATTCGAATAATGATTATATAATAGATTGAAAACTAAATTTACATAATCAATAAACTAGAAATATACTATTCGTTTTTTTTTTTCTTTTTTTTTCTTTTTTCTATTCTCTATTCAATTGTTAAGTCTCACTTATCCTTCGATTTCAATTGTTTAAATCTCTATTGAAGTTTTTTTTTTTTTCTTAAAGATAACAAAAGAATATTGAAGATTGTTTTATTAAATGACATAACACCTTTTCAAATCTAACACTATTTATTAAGAATACTTTCATTGGTTTCGTTTCTGTTTATATATTCAATTAAACAAAATAAATATTATCTTTCAATAAATAATATCGAGTTATCAATATATTTTATTGAATATGATTTTTTATTTTTGTTTTGCATATATTTATTTATTGTTAAATCAAGTAAATATTTTTTTTTTTTATTAATTATATTCGATATATGAGTAAATGTGTTTAATGTCTGTCTGGTGAATAGATAAATCGATGTGATATTCAGACAAATCATATGTCTTTAACAGATTAGATTCGTTTACACACTTTCTCATTTACATTTATTTAAGCTTCTTACACTTTTGTAAATAAAGGTAGTCAACGCAATGTGAAAACGTTTTTTTTTCTAGTAAAATGTACTGTTAATTGTCGGTACTTGACATTGAGATTAGTAGAAATAGGTATAGATATGATTTAATTCAATATAAGTTATGAACTTTATTTAAATAGTTTTATAAAGGTCATTGAAGAAACTATATTGAAAATTTTATTTATTTAATCATCATTATTTATATCAATAACAAAACAACTAAAAGAATTTTATAAATAAATCTTTATTAATTAATATAAATAATTAAATAAAATAAATTTCTATTGTCTTAAATCAATATATATATATATATATTTAAACATTTCAATATCAATTATTATCAAATATATATATATACATTCGTCGTTTTTATTTTTATTTAGTTTTCCATATAATTATTAAAATAAATGATAATGATAATGATTATTATTTTTTATTGATAAATAATAATATAATTTATTTGTTTATTTGAATAAAACATAAGATAAAACAATATAAATTAATAATCAATGAATATCTATCTATAAGATGATATTAAATTTATTTAATAAATTAAACGATAACATATATTGAATATTAGAAAACAAAATTATTATTTTAAATGACTTTTTTTTATTTAAATTATCTTGAAAATAGTATTCAGAATAATGTTTATTCATTTTTTTTGTTTAATTACTATCGTTCTCGTCGTTATCATTGATCATTGTTTTATTCTATTCAGTTGTTACAACAATATGAATTGGAGAATGTCTCACAAAAAACGAAAGAATAAAGAACACAAAAAAAACACATGAGAGAAAACGATGGGGTGCACTATGCATTATACAACTTTCTCTCGTCAATATATGTATGATGTATATATAATATATATAGGCACGAGCCATTCAATATAAATGAGTAAGAGCATAGATCTTTTTCGTTTTAGTTCTATAGTAATAAATAATAAACAAAATTCTTTTATATAAATATATATTGTTTACTTTTTTTGAATTGTTTTAAGATTATTAAATTATTTTTAAATAAATAATAGGATTATTATTTAAAAATTAATTTATTTAACAAAAAATAAAAATAACAAAAAATTGTTTTCAATATGAATCAAAATTGAATATAAAGAAAAATAAAACAAAAAAAACGGTCTAACAAATAACATAAGGTAAGATATATCTATTGATAAATATAATTAATGATAAAATCCATTATACTGAATTAACTTAAATCATATATATTACTTTGATATTATCATATAAAATAGTTTCGTTTAACTAAATATTATCATTGATTTCTTATCATTCTATATGTTAACCGATAACATTTGAACATAGAACTTTTTTTTTTTTTCTCATTATATTATATAAAATCTCCATATATGAATAGAATTGTTAGACAAATATATTCGATTTTATTAATATATATTCAATTGAAAAATAATATAGTTAATATCACTTATCAATATGATTTTAATATAAAGATAAATAATCTATCTATCTTATTTAATTAGTATTAAATATTTTAAATAATAATTATATTGAAATAAGAATATGAATAAATAATATCGATTGATTTTTAAAGTGGTTTAGATTTTAAAAAAACGAAAAAGAAAAAGAAAAAGAACTTTTTCTTTGATTAAACATAAAAGTGGATAAATATGAACTGTCCTTAGATTTTTTTTTTCCTTGAATTCAATATTTATTCTATTTTATTTTGTTGAACTTTTTTTCTTCTTCTCTTTATCTTGACAATAAATATATGCATTTATTAATCTTAAATCTTTTACAATTTTGATCAACGTTCAAATAAACTCAACCAAAATTCGTTTTTTTTTTCTTTTTTTCTTTTTTTTTTATTGTGTTTATAGTTCGTTCTTTCTCTTAGTCATTTGTCTGTCTATCTATCATTCATTTATACTAATACAACTAAAAGAGTATTATGATAAGAACAAATCATTTATAGCTCTTTTTTTTTTTTTTCATAAATTGAATATCTGTTTTATATCATATAGGTATAAATACTGTCGAGTATGTCTTATTTGATTATTGTCAATGAGTAAGAAAAGTTTGGTATTGTTTATTTATTTGTTAAAATCCTCATTAATATTAATGTTAAATAATGATAATTCATTAATATCAAATGAATATTTTATTGATACATGTTGTTCATTAAGTAAAACTGATAAACTAAATATATATTGTCGTCAAAATGAAATAATCCGTCTTAATTTAATTGAAATATATTATAATTCAAATGAATATTGTTCATCAGAATATAATTGTTGTAAATATCAAACAAATTGTTCACGTCGTATAACAAAATATTCAAATATAAATTGTAATGAGAAAAATTCTTGTTCAATTGATAGAACTTGTTTGAAAATTTATGAACCATGTTCAAGTTTAAATGGTTTATATGGACAATATATAACTATTTATTATTCATGTATATCATTATTATTAAATAAAACAAAATTGAATGATAATTACAATGATAATATACCATTTATTGTTAAATTATTAACATCAGAAAAAACAAATAAAAATAAATCATTTATTGAAAATGATATTATTTTATTTAAAAATTTTAAATCTTCACCATTATCATTAATATCAATTATATTTTCTTTTCTATTATTTATGTTTATTATTTATTCATTAGCTGATCATATTGGAAATAAAATTTGTCGTCAAAAAAATTTAATTAAAAATAAATCTATATTAAATAATCAACAAAATGAAAGAGAAGATAAAATAAATGTACAATCAAATCGTTTTAAATCTTTAAAAGATGTTAATTCATATCGAACAATAAATTTATATAATAAATCAATTTATCGAACGAAATATCCATATGTTTATTATTCAATTAATCCTTATCACAAATATATTCATATTCAACATAATCCAATAACTCGACAATTTTATTCAACCACATATAATCCTTATTTTAATCATTATACCAACTGACTTTTTTCTTTTTTCTTTTTCTTTTTCTTTTTTTTCTTCTTCTTTTTTTATTATCAATCACCTTTGTATTCAATTCTCTTATTATTGAAATCGACATTTTTACTCCTTTTTATTTTATTTCATGTTCTTTTCTTTTACTTAATTAGTGATTAACAGAAAAAACCTCTTATAATAATAACTATTTATTAGATATTATATTCATTTTAAACATCCGACATATTCCTATATAAGGATTATTCGAAAAACTGATTCATATTCAATAATCTTTTGTTACTTCTCTTATAGGTAAAACAATAATGCAAAATAAGAGGAGAACTTGTCGTCGTTTGGTCTATTAATGAAATGATTGAATGCGACAACTCCCTATATCATCTATATATCTTGCTTTTAGTCACCCTATACTTGAAACAAAAAACGACCATACAAAACGACCTACATAC